CTCTCCTCAAAATGGAGTCAAGTGCAAAGTCAAGGTGTGCTGTCTCCAAATTCCAACCTCCAACATAGAGGAGACACCAGCTTCTCACCAGACCCAGTCCAAAAGCCAAACCGAGTCCTGACCATTGGGGAAGGCAGTAGCCTGCAAACTACCCCTCAAAAAAAAAAAAGAAAAAGAAAAAAAAAGAAAAAAGAGGTGGCATTAATGATGCTTGCTCTATCTAACTTGATAGACATTGTCCAAATGCTTCAGGGAGGCAGTCGGTGGATCTGTGTCCATGTAGATGCAAAGGGGTTTTGGTTTTGTTTTCTTTTTGAGACAGGGCCTCTCTATATAATAGCTTTAGCTGTCCTGGAACTCACTTTGTAGACCAGGCTGGCCTTGAACTCACAGAGATCTGTCACAGAGATTCACTGACTCTGAAGTGCTGGGATTAAAGGTGTGTGCCACCACCACCTTTTTTGGGTAGATTTAGCTTAATTGCTTAATTGTGCTAAAGGCTCTATCTGTCTGCCTATCTGTTTGGACAGGATCTGAGAGAGAGCCTTTAGTCCAGATGAGAAAGCCTGATCCTATTCTACAGCCTGATTGTAGGATAACTCCTGGAGTAAAATCAGGAACTGTTCAATCCAGTACAAGATCTGCTATTCCTCCTCACTACCAATTTCCCATAAGTCAATTTCCTTACTGAGATGGATAGAGCAAGATTGCAAAGTTTCCTCAAATAGACATGTTTTCCTTTTCTGACTTTCATATTTTAAAGATGTGAACATCACATTCGTGTATCTCTCGGGGTCTAGCATGCTCATCCATTGAGCCAACTGGAGTGACACTCAATCAGCTCTCTTGACCATGGCCACGTTTTATGAGCCATTGAAACTAGGTTTATGTCAAAGTTCTAGTCCCACATTATCACTGGGCTACCACTGCCTAGGAGGACGCCTCACTGAGGAGTGCACCGGGTAGATTTGGCAACATGAGAAAACAGTCACTTCCTCAGCGTAGGCTGATCGTTCTCTCAGCCAAGCTGCGTGGAGTGTTAGATCGGCAGTGTTGGGTTCCTTTCCAGCCTCCACAGTCTAAGCCACTACAGGGCTACAGTTAAAGTACGTAAAAAGGAGAAAGCCCTCTGCGCATAGCTCCAGCTCTGACTTAACGTTCTACTTGGGCTTGTCGCCGAGTGCCCAGCAGATGACCTCTCACATACACCTGAAGTCAGAAGGTAGAACTCAGTAACGGTGGCCAACTGTGGACACTCTCTAGGCAGAAAGATGGTCTGATGACGTGTCTCACCACTTCCCACTACCAAAAGAAAATTAATCGGTAAGGTAATTTTTTTTCTCTTGGTGACCAGAAATGGTGAGACGTCAACTGCCCAGCAAAAAGACGGATGGACAAGCTACTAAGCAAGTAAATGGTCCTGTGCCTGACATTCCTTTTCTCCCTTCCATTTCCTCCCTCCAACCCTTCTCCCCCTTACCAACCTTGCACTTTCTCAAATTCATGGCCTCTTTTTTAATTGTTGTTACATAGATTACATTTACATGTGTGCAATACATATGTATATGTAGCATACATATGTATGAATATTATGTGACTATATATTACAACACATACACACATACATTCCTTAGTTGCCCACAATTCTAATTTTTTTGTCTAGGGTTGGAGTCTCGTGAGGTCGTCCCCTTCCACGTTTGCGTGTCTCCTGGTACACTCCCTGTTCAAGTCCTGTTTAGGCAGCCATGTTGTTGAGACTACTTGGGTGAAGCATTCCTGACATTTCTAGGAGACACAGGCTCAGGGCAGGCTTCTGTTCCTCTGGCTTTAAGCCTCTTTCCACTCCCTTTTCTGCTGTATTCCCTGCACCTTTAATACAGGAATTCTTAGTCCATGAATAAGAGTGGTTTGCCAAGCTTCAGATCCAACGTCTTTATCAAGGAGGTCTCTTTTCTCCCCTGACTGGCACTAACAATCAGTCCATCACTACAGTCAAAACAAAGATCCTTAAAGGCAAGAGACACCACTGACCGCATCCAGCATCGCCCTGTGCAAGCCCTTCTGGGACAGTCCCTAGACTACCACAAATCTTAATGCCTCATTTACAGAATTTTAGCCTGCGACATGTATGCTGTCTTTCAGCTCGTGTGTAACTCCCAAACATGACATAGTCACCTCAACTCAACAACAGAAGTGCGGACAACCAGAAAGACTCATCCCAAAGGTCGTGTGTAGTTCTCACTTACGTTCTGCCACCAACCAAGCCGCCATCTCGGCTTTCTTCTGGCGACCCTTCTCTGTCCTTACGCTTTAACATCAAGCAATTTTGAAGTTGTGAAACACACAGTGTGGTACATGGGTGGGGGAGAGTAGGAGCCAAGGAGCTCTAGTCCAGAGCCACCATGCACATGTGGTGTGACCCACAACAGACCAGGAAAATTCCTGGAGACCACTTTCTCATCCGTAGAATGGAGGCAACACCTGTTTGTCAGGGATGGTGGGAATGAATGAGCTACTGTAGAAAAAGTACCTGGCTGCTCTCTCAACAAGTTCATATGGTTGCCCTACAAACATACCATCTTATATGTCATACAATATGTACCTATGCCAGAGCCCATACTGAGCTTTCATGTAGCTAGCCCGTCATGATAAAAAAAAACAAAAACAAAACGACTGCTTTGAAAAAAACAGGAGACAGGCAATTGAGAGCCATCGAGACTGGCGTCCTTATTTTCTTTATCTAACCGTGCTGCATACATACAGCAATGATCTCCCTATATCCCCCAATAGCCTTCCAAGTACCTCACAGCATGTTTACTTGAGCTGTCCCACCTGGTGTCTGCCATGAATGCAAGCAAGATCACCAATGGGGCAAATCCTCCTGAGAGCAACGTCACCCGATCACTGTGGCACACACCAGCACAGCCTGTGCGGATGACTGGAGCATGCAAAGTGGGGATGAAAGAGGTTGTCGCACAGTTCACAGTGGTTCCTGGCAGACCCCCTCGGTCACGCTCTGGGGTGATCGGGTCACCCTTCTCCTAGTCCATCAATTTAAGTAAAGCCTCTCTCTCTCTCTGCTTTAGTTACCATAAGATCAAGGGGGCTTGAGTTTGTTCCTAAAACCCCTTCGTAAATGCCATTTAACTGTCAAATTTACATTGTCAGGTCAGCAGTTGCAAATCTGCAACTTGTGGGTAAATTGGGTTTGATAATTTAATAAAGGGAGCAGGGCCCTTTCTTTGGTTAGTTAAGGCATATATTCTTGTTATACTGAGAACTTCAAGTACCTATTTCATGCTAAAAGGTAATATATATATATAATATAATATAATATTATATAATATATAATATATATATATGAAGTACTACACATTGAGCAGTAACTTTATACTGAATGTCATCGGACTAATCTACAAGGATTGTATTTGGGAGGGGCAGGGGCTCAGACAATGCGTGCTGAGTAGCAGCTCTCAGGCCTTCCGGGGATCTAACTCCAGTCATTAGGATCGCTGATCCCAGAAAGTCTCTAATTTAAGACACTCAATTCAAGTTCACTGCCCCCAAGAACAACTCCCTGACTGCTGACTATCCACGCTTGTTTAAAGAGTACAAACTTGGACTTTGTCGTTATTATAAAAGGACAGAAAAGAGTCTCCCAAGGGATATTGAGATTTGCCTCATTATAAATGCTAACAACAACAAACTTTCTTTAGTCCCTCCCTGCCTTCCTCATAAACAGACACAGAGAGAGAGAGACAGAGAGAGTGAGAAAACACCAGAGTGTCTGTAGAATGAATTCCCAGGCCATAGCAACTGCATTGCCTTGAGATGGAAGCAGTAGATCTTGGCTGGTCAGGCAGAAAGCCCTTTAGGAGATGGAGACAAGAGGCCTGCCTTCCCTTACACAGCCCAACCATGAAAAGACTCTTTTTTGTTTTTGTTTGGTTTTTAGTTAACAATCTTCATCCTCCTCGCAGGAATAAAAGACATGGCTGGTTTATGGCGACTCAAGGGTTTGAATTCAAATTTTCTTCCACCTAATTCCCCACTTGGCCCCGATTACTGGAAATAAAGGGACAGGCTGAAGGAAGTTTGGATAAGGGATGATGTCAGGCTTTGATCGGATAAAGTGATGGAGGACTGCGCTCGGGGCACGCCCCAGATTTGGGTTCCGAGGGAGTCTGCATCATCTTGAGCGGTGACATGTATAAACACAGAAAAGGAGAAATAAAAGGATGGAAAATATTAATCCTCCTTTATGTAGCTCTTTCCCCTCCCCCTCTACTAAGAGCCAGAGCGCCGGTTGGCTCCGAGCCGGTGCTTTGGAGGCGCCTGAGAATGGGTCTCTGGGTCCTTTTTCCCCCTACTCTTCTTCGTCGTCTTCTTTTGACGTGCAGAAATCAGGACCCATCCGAGCCAAGAGGGAGGAGAGAAACAAGGAGGCTGAAGCAAGGGGTGGCCTGGCCCCCTACTCCGGAATGCCCCGTGCGCGGAAGCATGCAGCGGTCCGGGGCGCACCGGTCCCGCTGCCTCCACTGCGGTAGCATCCGGACATGACATTGCAGCAGCGACAAAGCAGCGGCCACGACCGGCTGCTGGCCACTGACAGGACTGCTCGGACTTCGCACCACGCCGAGGGGCTGGCGGCGGATGATATTGGGGTGAGGCTAGGTGTTGGGGTGCGAGGTAGGCCGAGTCCGGGGGCAAAAGCCCTGAAATGCGCAGGACGCCGGGGCGGCCACCTCTCGCGCTTCCTTCAAGCAGCCAGATTGTAAGAAAAACAAGTCTCTAGCACTCCTCAGACTTAGCTCATCTCCCAAAAGAAATTATCTAGTAGAAGCCCTCCTCGGTGTGGCTATTTATTGCCTCGTAAGCAATCCTTCCAACCTAGCTGCTTCCACCGCGCGCCGCCGGCACTCCGGGCCCGAGGACCCGCCCCGCTCCCGGACATAGGCTCGAACGCAGCCGCCACCCCATGGTCCCTTCCGACCGCTCACCAGGAGAAGGCAGGCGGCGACCATAGTGGCTCCGACTTGGCCGGCGACGCGGCTGCAAGAGGCGAGGGTGGTGATGCTGCTTGCCGAGGTCCCCATGGCCGAGCCTGGGGCTCGCAGGGGGCCCGGAGCGCGCGGCCCCACGGCTGCTGGAATCGGTGGCTGTTTCTGCCCAGCGCCGCATCCACCGCCGCCTCCGGGGCGGTGAGCCCATCTACCTCCAGCAGCCCATGTGCACTGCAGCAGCCGGGCGGCCAGGCGGAAGACGCAGGCAGCAGGGGAGGCTCGGGAAGGCGCTCAGCACCTGCCCAGGGGCGCTGGCGCCCGGGCGCGGAGAAGCTGGCGCGCTCGCAGCCGGCGCCTCCCGGTGCTCTCCAGCGACAGCGGCTGCGGAGAACCAGGGAGCAGGGCTGGCCGCGACAGTGCAAAGGAGCGACTTCCCATAGCGAAGCCTCCAGCCTCTAACAACTACTCGCCTCCTCCGCTGCCCAAACCGGCCGGCGAGGGACTGAGACGGGTGGCCACTCAGCTCGGGGACACACGTGGTGGCGCCGAAGGGGCGGAGAACCGACCCTTTGTGATGTCATCCGGGAGGAGGCCGGGCTCTTTGTGCAGATGAAGAGAGAGTAAGGCCTTCCAGAAACCGAGGGGAAGGAGAGGGTGCCCCTTGGCGTTAGCTGGAGGAATTGCGTTTGCTTCTCAGCCTGTGTACAGGGAGTCCTGTACACATCCCACACCCCGACCCAACTTTTATTTATTATTTATTTTTGGTGAAATTATTACAATGATATTATATTAAGGCAGAGACTATTTTTTTTTTTCTAGCATAAGTATTAACAAGCCAATTTGACCTGAGCATGATGGCAGTCGCCTGCATTTTCATTGCTAGGAAAGCTGAGGTAGGATTTGGAGGTGGAGGAAAGTCTGAGCTACACAGAGACTTCCTGTCTCATGAATATGTACATACATACACACATGCATGCATACATACATGCATGACTGAAGGAATGCATGAATGACCCAAGCATAATGGTGCCATTGAGTACTCCGTAGGCTAAGACATGAAGCCTGCATTACAGAGCAAACCCCTGTCTCAAAAATTAATTAATTTAGCAAACAAAAACAACCATGGTGCTTATATCAACCAAAGAGACTTGAGTGTTTTGGTGTGTTCCGGGGTCTCACACTGGATCAAAAGGAAAAAGCGAATGGCTCTCAGCATTTATCCCTGGCTCGCTGAGCTTTCTGGCTGCAGACATAGTGTGACCGGCTGCCTCCCCTCCCCTCCCCTCCCTTCCCCTCCCCTCACCTTCCCTGACCTTCCCTCTCCTTCCCTCCCCTCCTCCCTTCCCCTCCTTTCCCTTCCCCTCCCCTCCCCTTCCCTCCTTTCTCCTCCCCTCCTTTCCCCTTCCTTCCCTTTTCCTCCCCTCCCTTCCCCTCCCCTCCCCTTCCTTCTCTTCCCCTCCCCTCCCTTTCCCTCTTCTCCCCTTTCCTCCCTTTCCCCTCCCTTTCCTTCCTTTTCCCTTCCCTCCCCTCCCCTCCACTCCCACAACAGCTGTGTTCCCTGAAACTGTAAGCCAAAACAAACCTCTGCTCTTGCAAGTTGCTCTTGTTGGGTGTTTGATCTCAGCAGTGAAAAACTAGCACAGAGACACAACACTAAGAAGGCCTGAAAGGAATCTGCTATGGTAGGGGGTCCCATTTCCTTACTTGTAGATTAGTATGCTAGCTGAGCATTGGCTCTTTTTCTTAGCATTCTGTGGAAGAAAGAAATGTACTTAAGAATTAATATAAGGAGTAATTCCAATCTCATCTTTCAAAAAAAAAAAAAAAACAAACAAACAAACATTAAACCCTGAAGGGAAAATTCTCTAGTAAAATTCAAAACAGTTCTGAAAAAAATACAATCATTACATACAGAATTTGGGGAGCGAAGATGGGATTATTTTAATTTGAAATTCTCAAGGTATCCCCAAGGCTTCCAAAGGTGAGGGGAGGTGGTTACTAGGTCCCCATGTATGATAGGGATTCTTCAAAAATTCAAATTATTGCCACTATTATAGGTCTTTTTGTTTAAAAGAAAATGAAGTGAGATATTAAAAAAGAGAGAGTCAGTTAACACCTTACAAACAAATCTGAGTTACTTGAGGCAACGTACGATTTGTTGCTCTGAGCTGGGGGAGTTTAATTTGGGGAACTGCATTTCTGACCTGTTCCCTCTCTCTCTGGTCTCTGCACTGCTTTCACATTCCATTGGGTCCTTAGGGGACATTAATCACCTGAACTCAAATTTTAACATACCTTTTGGGTTGGGTTAGGTTTGTTTGGTTGGTTTTTGTTTTTGCTTTAGACTAGTTCTTGCTGTGTAGCCCAGGCTAGCCTCCAGTGCTGTCCTGCTTCAGTCTCCCATCTGAATTATGGGCATGCAACCCCTATGCCTCCTGATGAAAAAATTTAGTTGATTCTGCTTACTGCTAATTAAGTAAAAGCTCTTTGGTATCAGTGATAAACCAAAAAAATAAAATAAAATAATAATAATCAATTAAATCTAGTTAGAATATAAAATACCATTTCTCTATTCTCTAAGAAAAAATGTCTTTCATTTCATATTGTAAAATGCTTTAATCACTGATTACTTCACAGCCACGTATTCAATATGGCCAGGCAGATGTCTTTACTTACTTATAAATGGTGAATATTCAACCATAAATAATGGATTTTCTGCCTAGGCTCCAAAGAAAGAAAGAGAACATAACTATTAATAAAGCATGACTATAGCTAAAATGGAAAGGTATAAATGAGGCCAAAATGGATACAACCAATCTTATCTTCACCATAAAATCACTGCCTCTGACCTCCGGCTTAATCTGAACTTTTCATACTTCTTCCAAGACTGTACAAATCTGGTTTTATGGCCTCAATCAACCTCATCATCACCAGAATTTTTCGTTTCCTTAAGTATATTCCTAATCAATGCATTTTTCAATGGCTCTATTTTTTTTTTCATTTTCTAGTTAAAAACCTCATGCATTGAAGGGAGCACCAGTTTTGCCATCTTCTCTCTCTCTCTCTCTCTTTCTCTTTGTGTGTGTGTGTGTGTCGTGTTTCTGAACTCTATCCTGCTTCCCTTTGGAAGCTGTAGCAATTTTTCAGTTGTAAAAAATGTAAGTGTGGGGGTGGTGGAGAGACTGCTCTGCAGTTAAGAGCACTTGCTGTGGTGTTTTTTTTGGGGGGTGGGGTGGGGAAAACAGCACCAGGACTTTCATGGGGAGGAGGAGGGTAAAATAGAGGGAGAGGAGGAAAGAGGGGTAAATAAGACTAAGTGTGTTTGGAAAGGCCATAGGGAAATGTTATTTCATTTTTACTTAAAAATATACACACAATGGGACACAAGAGGCATGGTTAAGTGGTTAAAAGCACTAACCACTCTTGTAGAGGATCAAGGTTCCATCCCCTTCCCTCACATGGCTGCTCATGACTGTCTGGAACTTCATTTCCAGGGCACCTGATGCCCTCTTTTAACTACCTCAGGCAGAAGACACTCATGTACTGCACGTGCGTGCATGCAGGCAAAACATTCACACACACATAATAAATCTTTCAAAAGAATACGTGCATAATACATATAAATAGAAGCATGAGCGCAGTCATGTATTACACACGTAATACATGACATGTGTGGTTTAAACAATTACACCAATTTGGGCTATAACACTCCCTGCCAGAGCCATAGACTAACTAACAACAACAACAACAAAAAACCTAGTATGAGGCAGGAAAAACCTCAGAGCTGCTGGTCAGAGAAGTCCAAGAGACTTCTGCTGCATCCCTTTGTTGCTTCCTAGAACTTGAAGGTAAAACCATATGGCTGAAGACAACACTCACTTTGGACACAGGACTTGAAGGAATCAAACTGAACCCGACAAGGAAGCCTCTGTGAGGACGAGGTCTCCTAGTATGATGGGAGAAAAGCCACAGGCAACTGTGTAACTGCAGTTCCAGAGAATATGATGCCCTCTGCTGGCCTCTTCGGACACGAGACGTCCATGTGGCACACAAATACACAAGCAGGCCAAACACCTACACATAAAAAATAAATAAAAAATCTCAAAAAAGAAAAGAAGGGGGTCATAAATTTGGAAGCCATGAGTTGGGGGACAAGAGCATAGTCGGGATGGGAGGGGTGGAAATGATGCAAATACAGTATTCATGTATACAATTCTCGAAAACATTAATTTTTTTCTTGTTTTTTTTTTTGAGACAGGGTTTCTCTGTGTAGCCTGGCTGTCCTGGAACTCACTCTGTAGACCAGGCTGGCCTCGGATACAGACATCGCCTGCCTCTCTGCCTTCCAGAGGGCTGGAATTAAAGCGTGTGGGACCACTGCTCAGCTTAACATATTAAATTCAAGGAAAAACAAAACCCAAAAAACAAACCACTTGCTGTTCTTTTGAACAACTTGGATTTGGTTCCCAGCAGCTCACAGTCATCCAGGAGATCCAACACCCGATTTCAGCATCTGTGGGTACCACGCATGATCACGGTATACATGTGTACAAACAAGCAAAACACTCTTACACATAAAACAAATATGTCTGTCTTTAAAGTAGAAGTCCATACGGCTATTTAGGGTAACGAACTGCTTTCTGATGGGACTTAAGGTCTGATCCACAGGAGGAAATTTGTGTCTAGTTTTGTAGGCCCATTCAGAGGCCTACAACTAGGCCAAGCTAGGACGGAGGGCAGGAATTTAACAAGAATAACTTTGAACACCCGAAAGCGTAAGGAGCTAAGTTCAAGGAGAGAGAGCATGAAGAGCTGTCTAAGCAAGAGCGAAATTGTTCTGTTCCCACATGTCCTGTGACTCTATGTATGTCTTGTGTTCAGTGCGCTGTTGGATACCATAGGTACAGTCAGAATAAGTTAAAGAGTGCAGCATAGTAACAGTGTGTCTCTGTGTGTGCCTGTGCCTCTCTGTGTGCGTGTCTGTATATTTGTGTGTGTGTGTCTGTGTGTCTCTGTGGCTTGACTCTTCTGCTCAGCCTCTTTTCTGGATGGTTGTTATCCCTCCTGCTAGTTTTCTGTGGTCTCTCAGCCCTTCGATAAATCTATTCTTCGAGAGAGAGAGAGAGAGAGAGAGAGAAAACGCTTTGGGGGCTTTCAAGAGACATATCAAATGGTACTTTACCTAAAAACCTTTCTCTCCATTTTCTGTAGTCGAGATGGGGCCTTTTCTAGCTTCCTCTCACATGGCTCCATGGTGGCCTGTGTGAAGTGTGCTGTGATTCTATGGCCAGCTTACCTCTGTGTGCCTTCGAGGTCCTTGGGGGAAAAGTGCATGTCTTAATCTTCAAATCTTCATTACCAAAATTAGAAGAAATGACCTCAATCAATAAATATTTGTTAAGCAAAACAGTTTGGAAAGTTTGGCAGCAATGGAGTAGTTAACACAGGGAACACACCTTGCTTTTCCAAAAACTTAAACATTCCAAGCTGTGTCCAAATGGAAAAGCTTTAACCTCAGTGATTACCAATGTCCTGCTCAGTCCTGGACTCAGATTAAACAACTTCTCTACAGC